CTTTTTGCATGAATTTAAATAACAAATTGAGGACAAGCTATTAATCTCTTCAGCTTTATATTCTGATGAAAAAGGAGCTGACTGAGCCTAAATCAGGTCTAATGTTTGCTCTAGATCTGGCAGAATAGTGAGGATGCTCTGAGGCTGTGCAAGGAGGGGCTGGTGGCTGCAATGTGCAGCTGAGAGTGAGGGAGCTGCATCTCAGGGAGCCCTTGGGCACACCAGGAGGCCCCGGTTCAGTAAATCCTCCAGGATTGCATAACTTGGAACAAGTGAACAGTCCTACAGTGGGGTTATTATGTGCCTCGGGTTATGCAAGTGCTTAAGTGTTTTGCTGGATAGGGGCCCTAATCTCTCAGTATCGTTTTCTCCTATCTTTAAAGTGGTAATAATGATTCCTCCATCAGGAAGGGAAGTAATTGATTTAGTCATGATTACAGAAAAGAGGGGGTCTGTAACTACCAAACAAAATAACCCAAAAGCAGGAGGAACGGGGAAGTATGTGGAATAATATCATGGGATGCTAATTTTTAAGAGGCAGTTCTGTTTTGGAAAGTGTTTATGTTAAACTGCAACCTTCTCTTACTCTGGCTAATCATGTGCATTTAAGAAGCAAAACTACCTGGTAAACCCTGCAGGAAGATAGCTAACAGGAGTCAAGTGGATTGTGTTCCTCACACATCAGGAATAGATGCCTTCACATCTGAGCAAAGCCTTCGAAAGCACAAGTGTCCTATCTGGCCTGAAGAACCAGGACAGGTTGTCTGAGTAACAGGCTGACTTTCCAGGACTGGGAGTTAGGAAACTCATTGCTTTATGCATCGCTGGTTATGCTGCAAATGCTCTTCTTCAAACACAGCCAGCTACTCGGCATGCTCCCTTGTGAGTGATCCCTGGGGAATATTGGTCTCAACATCACTAAGACAAATGGAAATTGGAACAACATCATGATGACACTTCTAGATTATAATGGAATTAAGATAAAATAAGAACTAATATGAGAAAATGTACTTATGACTGCAATACTATTATTCCATAACCCATAGGCTGTTTATTCAAACAGAAGATGTAGCGGTAGCCTGGTAGAGTAAGGAGAATGTTCTACCACGTGCACTAGCTGAGCCAGCCTCATCATTAATTGCTGCTGGTGGAGGCAGTCCTGCCGCCCTCTGCCCGCCCTGCCCTGGGCTACCTCCCTTTCCTCCTGCTGGCTCAGGCCCTTCGTTTTAGTTCAGCTCCCCAAACCTGTAAAAAGAGAAACTCAGGGAAAAAACCAGGAAAGGGATGTTTTCCGGTCCTGATCTGCTTAGGTTGGGCATACAGATTTGCCTGACATTTTCCTGCGTGGCAGCTCTGTGTTCATCTCAGTACTTGGACATTTCTTCAGTAACTTACAGGGAAGGTGAAGGCCTTTAAAAATCAGCTAAAAATATCCTGATAGATAGCTCTGCTATATTCCCACTAACCTCTAGAATTCAAGCAATTTCATGCATCATTACCAACCCCAACCAAAATCAACGGTTGTAACTGAGACGCAGCAAGCCAATGTGTCTCCCACGGCAGGGTTGCACCCGAAAGGACTGCCAGGGCAAGGCGGGTGGAAGGGGAAGGCTGTTTGCACAGCAAATGACCTCTCTCAAATATAGCCAGGTACTCAGCATGCTCTTTTACGAGCGATTTGATGTAGAACAGCTCAAGCTAGTCATTGAAACAGCATTGTGCTTTCTGTATAACAACACAGGCTACGAAGCTATAGAAACCTTCTTTTATGTATCATCTACTGTGTTCTTACACAGGCTGATCATTAGTGAAGACAAATTAGTCCTCATTTTTCTTACACACAAAGTGTTGCTATTGCTTTAAGCTGTCAGCTACACTAGCAAATACCATGATTTGGTTATTCACCTTAGCAGGGATTATTTGTTATCAGGAGAAAGTCTACTTTTTCAGAACAAGGGGAACAAGGGCTTCTTAGGACAAGCTCAAGTTGTAGCTGACTGTGGTGCTCCCGGGAAGCGTGATCCCGTGTAAGAGGATGAAGACAGCCTGCAGCCTTTGTAGTCACATCACTCACTGTGTTGTCTCAATATAAAATGTAAGCAGGTTGCTTTCGGAAGGGTATTTCTGTAAAATAAATAGAGCTGTGTGCAAACATGGGTCTAAAAGAAAAAGAAATGCCCTGCAGGATCTTTGAAGTCTTCTCATTTTGTTGCCATCGGATTAACCTCCTAGCAGCAAAGAAAAATGAGCTCTATTTGTGCAAGTTAGGACCTTCCAGAGAGTTTGTTCGTGAGGAGCTGTGGGCATGTGGAATGCTGCGGGCTGACAGATAATGTATTTGAAAAAGACTTTGAAGTTGAGCTGAATAGTCCTTATATCAGGTCCTCAAAGTAACTGCGGCTGTAAGTTAAACTTGGAAAATAAAAGAGACATATTTTACTATCAAACATATATTTTGTTCCCATACTGAAGCTTTTGCCAGTTGCAGGTGTTTCCAGTCTTCTGCCTAATATTATTGGTAGACACACACCGTAGGAATGGACAGAGTAAGAGTTTGGCTCTGCTTTACATGCTTTATATAGAGAGAGCATAAATAGCCATGGTAAATAATAGAGTTGGTAAGTATGGTAAATAATAGAGACTTCTTCTCTTTCTAATTTACTGTTGGAGCTCATTTAGCTCAGTTTTGTCTTTGTGATATTATAAACCAAGGAGAACTCCATGTAAGGCAACAGGGACACTTTGGTTGGAAATAAGAAAACAATGGAACGAGACTCATTGGAACCATTTACATATTGGAGAAATTAGTTGAAAAACATGTTTCACAGTCTTGGTTTCTTTTCCCCTCTTACCATAGAATACTGCAGTTATGTTCTGGTTTGGGAATTTGAGTTTTGAGTACCCGAAGCTAAAATAGGGCAGAAATGGCAGAAAAGTACAAAAATGGCTGGCGACTTGAGCTAGACCATGGTTTTCAAAATCTCAGAGCCAGCAGCAATACCTGTTTTTGAGAGGACTACAATACAGTCCTGAGACTTCTCACCTCTGGGATTAAGAAATAGTATTTCGACACCGAGGGCATGTGTGGAACAGATGACTGATGACTTCTGTTCCATGCAATGCTCCTCCTTGGCTCACGAGGAAGACAGAGCAAGGGCTCTGCCCGTTCCATAAGCTTACCTGCACATCCCTTTTATATCAACCTTGCCCAAAACTGCTTTTCCTTGTAAAGTTATCTGCATGACAAAAAGATAACCAATAGCAGGGCATGAGCAACACCTACTTTCTGTGGGCCACCTCACGTCAAACTAGAAAGAAATCTCTGCCTATTTTGCTGGAATTGCCTGTAAGGGTTTCAATGCTGCTTCATTGCCCGAGAACACATCACTGTGCTTCTTTGTCCTTCTTACTCATGAGTTACCTGCTGCTACTCCTAATAGCGAGGAACGAAACAAAAAGGAAAAAACCCAAAGTATTTGCTGGAACAAACTGGGTGAGCTTGTTCTCTCCTTTAATTAAGATACTTTTTTCTGGTTGTTATGAAGAATCTGCTTTACTGTATCTAGTAGAAATTTTAACATTTTTCATTTGTATTCTGTTTTCTTTTACTAGACCATTGCAGACATAGTTTCTTGTTTTTCTGTAAACATATCCACTAAGAGAAAGCCGCTCTTTAATCTGTTCCAAACTCGTCCAAGTTTTACTGACTTACCCCTTAAGCATAAGTCATCTGCACACGATGTATCTACTTATAAAGGTAGTTTCTACATTAATTTGCTAATATTTTGCCTTTCAGGTGAACCACGGGAATCCAATAAAGGAAAGGAAAACATAAAGAGGCATTCCTAATCTCACACCGCCTTTTACCAAGGCAGGCTGCAAGTCTTGCTCTCCTCTCACCCACTGCAGGAACTCCCCCGGCGTTCGCTATTCTCGGGTTCAAGTTTTAGGCTGGCAACATGCCAGTGAGTTCATTAATGGCACACTGGATAACAGCGCAGACACAATCCTCTGGGATTTAAACAACATTTTAAGAGCAACATTGTGATTGCTAGAAGAAATTAAACTCTGGCTGGCCCGAGCTGTCTCAGGGGGTCCAAGTACCCACATGTAGCAGATAATATAATAGACTGTTACCTCCCATCTGTAGGCAGCTTTGGGAGACCAGATGTCTCTTGCCTTAGTAGCTAACTATCTGCAAACTGAAGTGTGCAAAGCTAACATATTTTTGCAGTCACCTCACTGCTTACTTTGGGGATTTGATTTTTGGCTGAAATGATCAGGTCTCATTAATCCTGAAAACCTCCTAGGACTGGAGATAACTGAAAGCCAGAATCCAAATCTTCATGTTTTAGGAAGTTACTTGGGGATCCATCCCGCTTTCCTCGTGCACCTGCAAGTACAGCTTCCTTTGTTTGTTCTGGAAACAGAGCTTCAAAAAAAAAAAAAAAAAGAAAGAAAGAAAGAAAGAAAATGAAAACCATAACACAAGCAAATGCTCCTGGCTGTGTGGGATGTTCCCTGAAATGAGAAAGCGCCTGTACCAATAAACCACGTCCAGTGGCCCCAGGCCATCCCCACTCACTGGGCTGTGTGGAGGTGGATGGGGACGCTCTGGGACATCTGTGCAGGTCACGGCTATGTGGGTCACGGCTGTACAGGGCACGGCTGTGCAGTTCACAGCTGTGTGGGTCACTGTTGTGCAGGGCACTGCTGGGTGGGACGTTGCTGTGCAGATCAGTCCTGTGAGGGCCACCGCTGTGCAGGACATGGCTGCGTGAGGCTGCTGTGCAGGACATTGTTCTGAGGCTCACCACGGCGCGATATACCACCGTGCAGGACATCGCTGTGTGGGAGGGACATCACTGCGCGGGACATTGCTGTGGGGGTCATCACCATGTGGGACGTGAGGGACATCACTGTGGGAGACACTGCTGTGGGGGACATCGCGGGTCACCACTGTGTAGGTCCCTGCAGTGTGGGACACTACTGTGTGGGCTATGGCTGTGTGGGACGTGGTTGTGTGGGTCACTGCTGTGCAGGACTTCATTGGATGGTACATGGCTGGGTGGGACATGGCAGTGCAGGACATCCCTGTACAGGACATCACGGAGAGGGTCATGGCTGGGCAGGACATCGCTGTGTGGGACATCGCCGTGTGGGACGTTGCTATGTGGGTCACTGCTGTGCGGGACATTCTTGTACGGGACATTACTGTGTGGGACATCACTGTGTCAGACGTGACTGTGCGGGTCACTGATGTGAGGGACATCCCTGTACAGGACATCGCTGCGTGGGCCATGGCTGTACAGGACATCAGTGTGCGGGACATCGCTGTGTTGGACACGGCTGTGTGGGTCACTTCTGTGCAGGACATCCCTGTACAGCACATCACTGTGCGGGACATCACTGAGTGGGTCACTGCCATGTGGGTCCCGTGGGGAACATCCCCGTGCGGGACACCGCCTCGCAGTACACCCCCGGAGGCGCGCATCCCCCCCTCACCTCCCGCCACCCCCAC